TTTTTGGTGTTGTCCTACGCGCGTTCATTCGTACACATGCCAGCGAGTAAGAGATATAGAGAGGGGCGAGGGGTCGAGGTGGAAGGAATAAGTGTTGAATTATTCCAGGTTTTCTGAAATACAGCGAGGGAGAGTTGAGAAAAGAGGGGGGGAGACAAAAAATACAAACTTACAAGAACATACGTACGCATGATAGTATACGTATACTAACCGATGCTGTGTTGTTATTTTTACGTTGTTCGCACTCTGAAATCTTCATCTATGTGTTCCAACTCGCAGATTATTCATCTTCTTCATTCTAATCTTTCTTTCGACTATACTCCTCATATGACCCGACTTGTGAAAACTCTTCGTGGCACTGTAAACAGTAAAAAAGAAACAGTGCATCTTCGTGAACGCGACGAACAACTACAAACGTAAAAAAATTCATAATATTTCAACCGTAGGTATGATATTGCGAATAGAGCTTGGTATAGCTGGGGCTCGTTACAGCCATACTGAGAGATGCATAAATGGGTAAGGGTGAAATATGGGCTACGCTACGCACAGTCTTAGTCAAACGTTTACGAACCGTACGGACTGGGAAATTCTTACAATGCCAAGATGGGTGCGATGGTCACAAGTTGTTTTTTTTTTCACATGCCTAATTAAAAAAAAGCTGTAAGTCCGAGTACCAGGCTGTGAAAAAATTCATATTTTTACTGACCAGCTTAAAACACAGTGCGTCACACACACAAAGTGTAGCCAAGAGACAAAGAGCTAATGACACCATTTCTATAATTTTACGACCCCGAGTGCGAAATCAGCTAGGTGTAACACTTCATGAAATATATCTATGAACAGAGGCACTCTAGGAGAATCAAACGAAGTGACGCTGCCTTCAAAATTGATTACTTTTAACGCTACAACGTAACTGGGAAAAATAAAAAAGATGCTAAATAAAATAATGTTGATTATATACTATTGATGACCTCAACGGGTCTAGAAATTGTCTTCTAAATTTACCACACTACCTGGGCAAACTGACTTTGCGTGCATATCACAGCCTTCTTTTTAAAATTTACGCCAATACCCTGTATCTATAGCTGCTTTTTGTATGCTTGCGAAATTTTCCTATTTATTTATTTATTTATTTCATAATACTGTCAGCCCTCTTTTAAGGGCTCTTACAGGGAGGGTACAAACAAATACAAACCAACCAATATACATCTATGTCAGGTGGTAGCGCAATCAATTAATACAGGTGTAACACTTTATCAAATCGGCAAACATTGCCTGCATTTACAGCAATGCCTGTCTACGCATTACAAGGCTTAGACACAGCTGGGAAAAAAAAGACAAAGAAATTCAAACCAAGTAAACTAGCAGGCTTACATCTGGCAGCTCCATCACTCAAATACATGTCCAAAAATTTTTCGTGTTGACAAAGATCGCTTGAATTTACTACAATGCCTGGCAACGCATTACAAAGCTCAATCGCAGCTGGGAAAAAAATAACAAAACACATCACTCCGACAAGAGTACGGTACTAAAACACAGTCGTGATTTAGTACAGTACTTTAGTACAGAGCTTTCAACTGGTTCTTTTGTCTCCGTGCCTCAAGTGATTCCAGTTCACAGGACTCCAACATCTGCGTGACAGAATCTAACCGGCAGTAATTCATGCATATAAAGTGAACGGCGCGGCATTGAACATTCTGCAATTTTGTTTTCAGGCTGTCTTGGTTAAAACTCCACACGACTGAGGCATATTCTAGTAGTGGTGTAACAAAGGTTTTGTAAGCTACAAGTTTTATATCTCGCTCAGCTTGATGCAGTTTTTGTCATAAGAAAGCTAGTCTCTGGTTCGCTTTCAAGCACACATTGTATATGTGTGTATGTCATGCCAAATTTCGAGTAAGGGTGACTTCTAAATATTTGAATTGGTTAGCATAGAGGAGTGCATTTTCATTGATAGAATATTGAAAGGGTATAACGACCGTTTTTTTAGTCATTAGTGTATATATTGATTTCTTGTATTTTACTTTCATATACCATAAGTTACACCAATGGCTGAATTTTGCTAAGCAATGACTAATTTTAACTTGATCGTACTTGCTATGATCCACGCAACGAAACGGCAGACGCTCTAGCTTGCGTGTTTTGGAACCAAGCGGAGAATCCCTCCTTTTTGTTGACCATACGAATTTTACCTAAAGAGATTCTCGCTCATCAGTGCTTCACTCGGCAAAAATGTGGAACACCTCACAGATCCCTTAATGAGGAAGAGGCCACCAACCTTCGAAAAATTCAGACATACGTATATCCGCATCTACTGAAGATCAACGCGATACATCCAACGGTTTACTCGGTCGTGTGTCCGTGGTGGGGTGGAGGGCCGACTCTCTACCACATCTCATGGGGGTGCAATCGCAAGCCAAGCGACTTAGCCAATTTCCTCGGCAAACCTCTAACACCTACTATCAAGCAGTGGGAGGCACAAATCGAGAGATCGGACATGGCAATGCAGCTCGAACTCTTGGATCAAGTCCGGTGGGCAGCTAAGGCCAGTGAAGCCCTGGACATGGGGTCTCAACCATATATAAGCTCTAAAATCCACCTTTATATTTTCCTTGAATAAAGTTTCACTCTCTCTATGACACACAATTTGTTTTAGCCTAGCTGTTAAGTTCCATTTTGAGGAATACTGTATCATCATAGATACGAATGAAATTGAGCAATGTTACCAGCATTTACTAAAACATCGATATGTTAGTCTTATTGCTGCCTCAGTAGGTTCAAGACCATTTGGAAAGCGTGGGAATCGGGCGGGCTGTGTAACAAAATGGAGGGATTCTACCTTTGAGGCTGCGCTGTCTCCCGCTCACTCGTTCGTTATTTCTTGCGACAGGACATTCAGCAGCAAAACCAGAATCAATCTGCACTCTGGAAGCAGAAAGATGTTGTCCGTAAAAGCACTATCTTCCTCTTTTTCCATAATTGCTAATTGACACATGCGTGTCTGTTCTGGCACAGGACACGCTTCATCTCCGAGGTACATGAAAGCATTTTTTCCCTCTATCTCTTAGCACTATCGCGTACCTGCCATTGGCACTAATCGCCCTTTAGTGAAATGACAGCTGCTTTTCATTTTGTATAATACGTGCATTCGCAGACAGGTTTGCCTCACGAATCTGTCGGTAAGTGCTGAGCATGGATGAATAAATGACATGCCTGCTATGAACCTCTAGCACGGTTCAGGTATTTTGTCTTATTTTGTCACTGATTATACATAGGCTTTAAAATGGCCTTTAATCCCGTGCACTACGTCAGGTGCAGAATAAGCAGCCAAACAGGCAAAAAGGAAAACTAGAAGTGGCGATGCATTGTATTTATAGTAAATGTAAGTTTGCCAGTTTCATTTTCACTGCACGTAGTCTGTCTGTCAGTGTTGCAGTGCATGGAAAATTATGAATTTCAACAAGTAAGAAGGCCAGAAAGAATTAAGCAGCACCGTGAAATCTCACGTGTTGCCTACATTGTCCTCATTACAGGACTTATGACGAAAGTGGAGGTTATGTTCGTGGACGACATTTTGTACCAAGGTACTGAAGTGTGAAAAACTGCGTGGCGCTCTTTATAGAATGCCACACAGGTTGAGAGTTTTACTGCGTCTATCTGTTATTCTAAGTGTACAGAAAAAAAAAAAAAACGCCAGACCAGCGCGGAAGGTGCAGCACGGTCACAGCGAAAGCTATAGAAGAGCGGCCAATCATAGCCTTTCAAAACACTCCTTAAGTAACTACTGCAAGTACACTTGCATGATACCCTCAAGGGGCATTCATAATAATATTTTTTGGGCAGTAGGCCGGCATTCGCTATGCTATTTTTCGTCATTCTTCAGAAAACCGTGGTATCCACTAAACACTTAGAATTAATTTTGTGCCAATTGTTCATGCAGTGGCTGATTGATTGATTGATTGATATGTGGGGTTTAACGTCCCAAAACCACTATATGATTATGAGAGACGCCGTAGTGGAGGGCTCCGGAAATTTAGACCACCTGGGGTTCTTTAACGTGCACCCAAATCTGAGCACACGGGCCTACAACATTTCCGCCTCCATCAGAAATGCAGCCGCCGCAGTCGGGATTCGAACCCGCGCCCTGCGGGTCAGCAGCCGAGTACCTTAGCCACTAGACCACCGCGGCGGGGCCGTGTGGTGGTGAGTGACCCTTTAAGCATCAACAAATCTTTATTTCACAGAGCCCCCTCGAGTCAACTCACTCTTCTTTTTTTTTTTCTACACTAAACCTGAGTTGGTCAAATATAAGAAGTAGGCAACGAACGTTTACAGAGAGGTTTAGGTATAGTGCATTAAATCTCTTCCTGTGAGATGAGGTCTTGAACCTAAAACTGAGAAGCTTTTTTTTTTTTGGCTATATCAGAGGTGAAAGAAGCGAGGAAGCAAGATGTATAAAAAAAGGCAAGTGTAGTCAGAAATTCTCTTTTTTCTCGCTATTCCTGTCAGTCAGTTACAGGACGAATATTCTGTTCTCCTTGCAGATGCAAGAAAAGCCCGTGGATGCATCATTTCTCCCTCCCCCGTTTTTTAGGAGAAAGAGGGGACGTTGTCTGAGAACCTTCAGGTGCCGCCAATTTACTTCCCTCAAAGTCGACCCACCTAATCAGTCAGAGGTGAGAACAATTACACCCCATCAGGCTGTCCCTGAGTTCGAATCACGGCAAGTAGCAGAAAAGAAAAGACGGCTGCGCTTTTTTTTTTCTCGCAGAAAAAGGCCCCCAAAGCGCGCACGCAAATTGCGGAGTTCACGATTGGACCGCGCAGGGTGACGTCACGCCGCATCAATTGGGCGCCGGGCGGCAAAGTGGCGCGCACGCTGCCCACTCGATGCACGCCCACGCGGACGTGGCTAGTCACGTGATAGCAGCCAAAGTGCCTCCGGGTTGGGGAGAGGGAAAGAGTCCCGGCAAGGGAAGCCGGCGGCCGGTATAAAAAAACAGCCTCCACAAGTTCGTCCCGCGAAGTGGCAAGCACCCAGGAAGGCATCTTCCCCACCGTCCAACTGCACTGGTGAGAGATGAACTTTTCGTCTCTGCTCTAAATCGAATTGAGGGGGCATTAGGAACGCCGAAGCTTTGAATCGGGGAATTAGCAGTGGCTTGTTCAGCAGATAGACAATACTCGGTGTTTCCTCGGCGCTTAGGTACGCGAGACGAGAAGATTTTGCAAAAGTGTCGAGTAACACATACTCAGTGATGCTTGTGAAGGACGCTCATCCGAACTGTATTCCACACTCTGATGTCTCCGTGAGTCAGGAGCCGATTTACGCTCGTAAAATGTAAGACGACTGTTTAAGGTTCTTGTAGGAGATAAATAAATAAGCGGGCGAACTTTCTTTTTGGTTGCACTGGGCTTTAAAACATGTTTTTTTTTTATAAAAACCGAACAAATCTTAAGCTAAACTTAAGCCGCTGCGCTTATACAGTTTAGTTCCAATTTTTGGACGAATACAAATTCTTTCTAATAACTACCATTTGGGCGTTTTCGTTTAAGTTCATGATGAGATGAAAGCTTTATTGGCACTATATTCTCACGTTAAGTGGCCGCTTGGGACTGCTTATGTTGCGTTGACTTTGCCATTCATTATTTACAATGCCTAACTTGCTCTTTTACCCAAAACAAGATGCAGTCAGCAACTCGGGTTGATGTAAGTGGTCAGATGTTTCACATTTGTGAAGGGGCGCATAGTTGTAGGGGCGCATAGTTGGTGTGAAGGGGCGCATAGTTGGTACGCATAGTTGTAGTATCTCAATTACGTTAAACGGCGTTATAACTACCAAACACCAATAGACATACACTCTTAAAAAGGTTTGTAAAAAGGTAGCAACTGATTGATTGATATGTGGGGTTTAACGTCCCAAAACCACTATATGATTATGAGAGACGCCGTAGTGGAGGGCTCCGGAAATTTAGACCACCTGGGGTTCTTTAACGTGCACCCAAATCTGAGCACACGGGCCTACAACATTTCCGCCTCCATCGGAAATGCAGCCGCCGCAGCCGGGATTCGAACCCGCGCCCTGCGGGTCAGCAGCCGAGGAGGTAGCAACTGCAAGCAAATAGGTAGTAACTGCAGCGGTTACTACCTTTCTTCGACCATTACTACCCTTTTGCTACCTGTTTACTGCCTGCGTTGGTAAACAGTTACTAGCTGCAACCGTTACTAACTTTTTGCGACCTTTTTACTACCTACGTTAGTAAACAGTTAGTAATTGAAATCAAAGAGGTAGTAACTGCAGCCGTTACTACCTTTCTTGCCCCGTTACTACCTCTTTGCTACCCGGCCTTTGACTATCTATTCCAAAATAGTGTGTGAAAGCGATTCTGATAGTTTATGAGAGGAATCGTCTCGACGTACATTCATTACACGGAAAAATGACGCAGAAGGTGTCCATAGATAAAAAAAAAATACATTTTGTTTTAAATTACTCAACCTGGATATGTAGACGTCACTCTGATAAATGTCTGTACAAGTTTACGAACCATAAGCAAGTGCCACACGCCTCATAATAGACAATCACAACAAACTTAGTAAATTACAGCACATATTAACAAAACCAGCACATAAAAATAACCAGACGGTCACAATTAGCCTCGAGGACATTCATAGTTAATCCACTGCGGCGTGTCTCCAAGTATTATCATTGTTTTGGCGCGTCAAACCACCAAAACGATTATTACCTTTTAAACGCTGATATATTAGTTGTGTGAACCATTCAAATGCACTGAGAATGAGTTCGGTACATTGTTGCGGCCACTGTACGTAATGCCTTTTTGTGGCCATTTTATAATAAATAAATATGAGATATAATTTTTCATAAGTAAGGCTGATTAAAAGTCTTGTGCCACGTCACCAAACACACGTAACCAGGTAGTACAATATAGTGCTTATGAGATTTTCAACTACGTTGCATCGGATACACATTTGTGAGTCTGACAGTTCAGTTTTGTTCCTGAAGTAGTTGGCACATGCGCTGTTTAATCTGATGTGGTACAAGCATGTTTTCACTTGCTTGCTGTGGTCTCACGGCATACCGAAGTGACACGATGGATCTATCTTGTAAAGAGGCCGATAAAGGTGACTAGCGTCAGTCCAGAGGGATCGCTGGAGGCGCCAAGCTTGTACCGATGAAAGTATCGCAACGTCTTTTTCGCGAGAAGAGTATCTCGACGATTTCTCTCGAGGTGTCATGTCCAGCTATGACAGCCTTATTTGCTCGAACGTAACGTTGTATTCCGCAGTACACAGGTATCCACTGGATCATATTGCGGTGATGAAGGTCACAGGCTCTGTTCCATAAGCGTTTAATGTCCAGATGAGTTGGTCCTGCGTGCATGGAGACTTCAGAGACTGCAGCGCCGCTCTTGAGTCAATGAAGATGACTCGAGAATCAGCTGTCTGGTCAACAATGTAGTTGAAAGCAGCCCGTGGTGCAGCCAGTTCAGTGGCCCGTAGATGAGGTGCAATGACTGAGAGTAGCAGATATGTTGACATTGGCAGATGGAATCTAGACACCAATGGTGGATGGTGTAGGCCTAACAGAGCCATCAGTGTAAATATTAAGGTGTGCTCTGCAGAATTTTTTTACGTACTGTAGAAGGGAATACGTCAATGCTGGTTCGGGTGTACGTAATTCATTCTTGAACCCAGACACGAAATTGACTATTGACCCCGAAGAAATTTTCCGCAATGGCTCCGTAGGCATTGGTGCATTTTGATAATGTTGCGGAAGCAAGCTCCGCACCGCAGAACCGCTGTCTGAAGCAAGCGCTTGACCCGGCCATCTGGTGGCATAACGCATGCAGACTCGAAGAAACTTCTGCTGTAGAAGTAGAGGATCTGTTATAGGCTTCTGCTTTCTGCAAGGATTCCGAGTTCGACAAAGAACATTTGGTAGGCTAAGGCACGCCCTCAGGGCTTTGCTTGAGCTCCAGTCACGGCTTCTATATCGGTTCGGGAAATGCCATGTAACGCAGGAAGGCTATAGTATATAAGACCTTCACAGAGAGTCCTGTACATTCGCTGCAGGTCATTAACGGAGCAGCCACCGGCATTTCTTGATAACACGCGGAAGATGCTTCCATACGACGCAACTTTCTCTACCGTTGCTTTTATAAAGGAGGCGTGATGTCTCGAGCTGTAAGTTAAATCTTTAACGCATAGGCACATTTTCCTGGTGACATCATTAGACCTCGCGCGAGTCAAAATTTTTGTATTGAATTGAGAGCTTTTTGTAATCTTGCTCGTAGGATACGCCTGTTGCGACCACTGCTTCATATAAAAATGTCGACTGCATATAAATAAACTTTAACTGATGCAGGGATGCACTCCTCTAATCCATTGAGAGAGATGTTCAATAAGGTTGAACTTATACCCTCAGAAACTCCTCGGTGTGTGTGGTGCTTTGTCACCTTTTTTCAGGTTATGTAGACTGATAGACCTGTGAGGTAGCCTGAGATCCAGTGGCACATACAACCTCATACTCTAAAAGACTACACAGCATATAGAATGAATTCGTGAGCCATGTTATCGAACACCTTCTTGATGTCGATGGTTACGCTGATAGTGATGTTGCCGGAAGCTTTGTGGAGTTTTACGCCGTTAATTAGACTAATCACATTGACGATGCGGCTGCGGCCCTTTCTAAACTCTTACATTTGTGGAGGGTATGCACTCTTGTTCACGAGAAACCAGTCCAGGCATACCAATACAACATTCTCCATAAGTATCCCTACGCAGCTGCGAAGAGCAATGGGGCGATGGGAGTTAAAGGGGCTCTGAAACACTTTTTTGAGTAAACATGAAATTAATTCACTGGAACAGCTTATTTCCTCACAAATTCAATGCCGTAAAAGTTTCAAGAATCCGTCCAGTACGAGCGGAGTTGCAAAAATTTGTCACATGCTGCAATTGCATTCTCTATTCTCTCGTCCCGACAAAAGCGGTAGAAGCTAAGCAGGGAGGGATGGTAGGGGCAAACAAAATACGTCACGCGCGCCTCGTGACCTTGAACATTTTTTTATTCGAATACGCGGCTTTATCAGTGTGGACAAGTGAATGTCTCCCGCGATGATCTCTGCAATGACCGAGCGCGCCATGTTCGAATCAGCCAATGGCTGATAGGTGGGTTTGCTACGAGTGATTTTTGAGCGTCTTCTGTCATTTGTCGAGGGAAGAGAAAGCAATTTTTAGCTGACTTTGATGATTTATTCTGATTTCCAGGCGGCGTGCTGCGCAATGACATTTGGCTCGCGTGTTATCGGGAGCCTCTATACTACCGATCGGCAGCGTTTTCTGACCATGCTCAAAAAGTGTTGCAGGGCCCCTTTAAGGTTCGTTGGAGACTTGCCAGGCTTTAGAATATGAATGACATGAGGTCGTTTCCAGCAAGGTTCAAGGCGGCCACTCTCCCAGCTCGCGTTGAATATGGCCAGAAGCCGCATCTTCGCCTTGACGCTACAAACGAATGAATTGTACGCATCCTGTTTGGTTACACAAGAAATATGGGACTACTTTCATTGATTCTGTGGCGATCCTTGCGTGAATACACATGAACGCACACAATGCACACCTCGCCAGTGCCCGGGCTATGGCCACGTGCTCGAAGACCTGCCGGAGCACTGACGAGATGACTGTCATTCTATGTTGAAATTTTATTCTCAGGTTTCATATCTATAACTCATCATATGATAGTGAGACACACACTGTAGTGTCAGGCTTGACATTAACTTTGGCCATATTGGGTCACGCATCTAACGCGATTATGCGCTCTGCTCTCAACAGAATGTGAAAGCCGTGGTAGAATCCAAGAACCGAGCAGCAGCGAAACGTCACTTAGTGGAGGGTTGTCAAACGTTGTCATAGTGTTGTCATATTGAGCGTCTTCGTGTAGAAATGAACGTGAATTTTGAAGGGCTCGTTTTTCTTCATTAGACACGATATTACTAGCAGCTAACAGACACTAGTCAAGGAAACTATACGGGACGTTATTTGTTGTAGTAGTGGTGTA